TATAACTCGAATCAAATCAAATTGAAAGATTTTATAAAATAAATTTGACTCAACTCGACTCGAAAAAAGAGAGTCGAGTCAAGTTGATCTTTAAACTCGACTCAACTCGACTCATTCGGAACTCTACTCCTGTATGTGACATATCTATATATGCTAAATAACATAATACACAATATTATTTAAATAATAGCATCGCAACATATAAACATTTTAGAGAGGTATATAAGCTTGATATCATTCAAAGGTAATCAAGTAATTCAGAAGAATAATAGGATTTCAGAGAGTTACTTTTAAGGCTACAAGATAGAGAATGCACATTAGAAGATTAAAAAAAACTCTGTACATACTTCGAAAATAATCTCAATAGAATAGAGTGAGATCAATTTTTAGATGTCGTATTTATATTAATTAAATAGACTGATGTAGATAAAGTTAATATTGAGATGCTCGTCTTATTAAACAGATCAATAGCTAATATATAAATATAAAAGAATAAAAATTTTATAATATCTATTATAAAAATATTTAGTAAATATTATATTTTATTTATTTTATAATTTATATTTATTAATTATATATATAAAACTATTTAATAATTAATAAACTACAATAATAGTAAAATAAAAAAAAAGATTTAATAATAAATTATTATTTATTAACATTTATTTATTATAATAAAATATTTTATTTTATTGAATTAACTAATACATTTTATTTGAACACAATTAAATTCTTTTATTATTAATATTTAAATAATTATTTTTATATATAATAAATTATTTTATTGATACAAATTAAAATTTATAAAATATTATCCCTTAAACTGTAAATATAAAATTATTCTTAAATATTTTAAGAAACTTAAAATATTTTAATATCTAATGATTATAAAAAAATGAAATAAAATTTTTTAGATTTATCATATTTTGATATATCTAATGATAATATTTTAAACTTTTAAAATTAATAATTATTAATATACATTAATTTTTTAATTTTTAAAAATAATTTATTATCTAATAATTATAAAACTATAAAATTTCATTTATCAGATTTATTATATTAAGACCTATTAAATGGTAGTATTTTTATATTTTTGGGATTAATAGATAGTAAAATATATGAGTTTAAAATTTTAATTTTTTTTATCATAAAATTTATTATGAAAGGATTAATTTTTTTAATAATATATTTAAAATATAGGTAGATTGCTAGGAAAATCAGGTTCTGGAAATTTTTTAGCAAATTGAGATTTTTATTGCATTTTATTTTTTGATGTAATTAGATTAAAATGTATTAAACTCTTAATTTTAGTCAAAAATTTCTCGGAACCTGATTTTCCTAGAAACACTCCCATATTTAAAAATAATTAAAAATAATTATAATTAATAATTGAAGGATAATAAAATATTTGAATTTCATAGTAAAATAAATATTAAAAATGCATTTGTATCATTTTTTTTAAATAAATTATCCATTTAAAATAAGATAAAATTTTAATTTATTTATGTTAAATATATAATAAAATTAATTTTATTAACTTTTAAAATTGTTTATTATAATAATTAATGAATATAATATTAGATATATTTTTTATTTTTATTAGTAGATTAGATAAATACATAAAAAATAAATTTTAAAATAAATTTCATTATTTTAGAAAATTTGTATGTTATTATTATTAAATTAAGAAATATTTGTTTTTTTATAATTAAATTTTTATAATTTATAAAAAGATATCTCTATAGGTAACTAACAAAGTATTAAAACTAGAACCGAATTTTAACTTTTTGCCTATAACTTTTGATAAAAGAAACTATATATCATAGAATGGCGCTACTTTAAAATAGCAGCAGGTCAATACTATATCAATTACAAATGAGAATTTCCAGATTTTATGAAGGTTTAAAATTTTTTCGGAAACTTTTTGAGACATACTAAATATAATGAATAATACTAAAGAAATTCGTTTAAGGGAATTGACGTTATTTGATTATTTGGATTTAAAAAATCTCCAAGATTTAATGAATAAAAACAACTATATGATAATTTTATACAAAATAATATGTAAGTTTTAGATATTTACAAATTTATTTCCAGAAATTAATAAATACATATCTGTTAAATGAAATCTATTTTCATAAATAATTACAAATTCTTGTTTAACTAACAATTCTACTAAATTTTCTAGTATATTCTAGAGAGCTAGGTATGGTTAATTCTAATATATCTTTCCAATTTCTTTCTTCAACAAATCCTCCTACATCTTCATAGTTTTGCAATTCTCCATTTTTTAATTTTTTATTATTCCGTACTTCTTTCCCATATTCATTCTTGTTATAATCATTTTGAAGTATTGTTGAGTTACGTATGCTAAACAAATCATAATCGTCGTATAAGATATGTCTCCGACTTTTAAATCCTGTCGAACTATCATCTAATAGACTTTTTTGTAAAAGATTAGTGCCAGAGGGTATGTCTTCGTCTAGTAAATGACGTGTCTTGGTTTTAATGTTTAGGTTTGAATAGTCTGATGATATTGGTGAGAAGTTGACTAATGGAGGTTCATCATCAAAACTTATCAGATCAAATTGTTCATTGATTGTGTTATATGTATTTGATTGTTCATATGATATTGGCGATTGTGATGATTGAATTGAGGAGGAGGAGGAGCGAGATAGGATAAAATAAGGAGATGATGATAATTGCGATGATTTATTCTTCAAGGAATTTTCATAAGATTGTGTTTGATACTTATTCATCATAATCCAATTTAAATGTTTGATAATAACACTGTTGGCAAAGGTAACTCTTGTACCATCAAAATCTTTTTTTGTGGGAACAAGATTTATTCTATAATTCTTATTACTATATGATTAGAAATTTTTTTTTTTGGTTAGCAAATCAAATATATATATCCATTTCCACAAAATAAATAACCCAGAACTCACAAAAATCGCCTCTTATTAATAGTCTGTTCAATTCTGGTAACATTTAAAATGCCTGCAAAATCTTTAACACGGAAGGAGAGATAACTTTCGCTTCTGTTTATAGAATTTTGCAACGCAGTTATCAATGTCTCCAATTTTTGGTCGATTGGGATGCGAAACTGCGTTTTTACCAGAAGACGAATGTCGGGAAAATATGAACCAGAAACCAAATCCAACAGTATGACTCGACGCATTAATTTAACAATTTTAGTTATCTTCCAAGTTTCTATTTATAAAAAGGAGTTAAAAAATTTTTTAATAAACACGAAAAAGCACCGACATAAAAAAAAATCTTTTCATCAAATAATTACTTTTTTGATAATCCCAATTTAATTTCATTTTCTTGTCTTCACCATCATTAAAATAAATCGAAATACTCCATTTGTCTTTTTCGCAATCTCCAAAACCTTCAACCTTTTCTTGAAATTCCGGATCCGCTTGAAGTATCCTTAATCCGTCAACGAGTGGTACATCATGTTGAAAAGATGTTTTGATCCCTTTTATACCAAGTCTTTTTAATCTACACCATTCTGACAAAGTAAATGATGATGGCTCACTCGGCGGTATATTAAAAAATAATTCTTGTCCAAGATACAGAGAAACTCTTATTTCCATTCCAGGATCGCTTACTGGAAATAACTCGGAAAGATACGATGTAATTTGTGTTATGCATTGAGGTAATTGGGAAAAAATACCGAACGGGTTTAGAGGAGTTAATACGGTTGGTTCCCATTCATATCGACTTTCGTCTAGTTCTTTGGCATCTCTATGATCACTTTCGTTGTTAGTGTTCGTTTTCATTCTCAAAATATTTTGGTTAGATTTCAAGTTATTAAACAACAAATCATAAACATCCGCATTAGATGAAGATGTTTCAGTACAATCAAATTCAAATTCTTCTTTGACCGTCTTGTTAATTTCTAAATTTATCTTGCTAGAGTCATCATTGTCAAACATAACATAAAACAATTCTTTCCCCTTTGAATGGGCATTATTATCCTTTAAATCATATCTCCTGAAATGAATTTTTGGTGAATATCTTGAACAAATACTTTTATCCGCAACAACAGAAGCATCAAGGATCGTAAAACCAAGTTCAGGATATACACCAGGTCTTGGTTTATTTGCTTCATCATCAAGATAAACCTCTATTCTAGATTTTGCAACTTCACATTGACCATATGTTCCATTGATGGTTATTTTGGTACCATCATCATTAATTCTAATTTTGGCACCTGTATCTTCCCTTAATAAATTTAAATCAGAATTGAATTGCATAAGCAAAAGTTAAAAAAAAATTTCACGAAATCAAAAAATAAGTACAAAACAAAAAATAAGAAAAACGAATATTATTTACTCGATTTTTTTTATATTTTTATATTTTCTATCAAATAAAAATTCGGATTTTTCTTCAGGTATTTTGAAAGTAAGTATAGTTTTTTTAGATGCAAGCATTGTATTCGTGGCATATGGAATAGCAGTGTCAAAGTTTGCTCCTCAAAAAAATAAAATAAATTTTTTGGAAAAAAAAAAAATATTTGATATTAAAAAATAGCAAACATTAAATATCTTTTATTTCGGGATAGTATCACATGATACTCGTTTAGAATCAAGTTTTTAAAGTTCAGAAAAACAAGCCTTCTGCTTAAAATTGCTAATACGCTAACTAGTCACATGTTGAACACACTTGTTACTTGACAATTAAAGAAATAAATAACGATAATAAGCCTAATTAAGCCTAATTATCTCTGATAACGATCACCTCTAAAATGGGCAATTATACTTCTAAAAGATAATTTGAAAATTCGAACAATTAAAACAAAAAAATTATATAGTGATACAATTCTTAAATAACCGTTAATTTCCGTAGACGTGACATTTTCTGCGCTGCGCCCTACACAATTTTAAATCTCTGATCTTCATTATACGTCACTAACTTAAAAAAAAAGAGGATTAAAAAAATTTCTTCCATCCATCCATCAAATCTTTTGTTGAATTTTAAAAAACTTCAAAGATGGTTAAATTCTTGAAACCAGGAAAGGTGGCAATCGTCTTATCCGGTCGATATGCTGGAAAAAAAGTTGTAATTGTTAAAGTTTATGATGAAGGCACTAAAGAACGTCAATATGGCCATGCCATCGTCGTCGGTATTGAAAGATACCCATTAAAGGTCACTAGAAAAATGGGACCTAAACGTATCAACAAAAGGACAAAAGTCAAGCCTTTCATCAAGATTATAAACTATAATCATTTGATGCCAACTCGTTATACTTATGAATTGGAAGAAATTAAACAAACGGTCACCTCGGAATGTTTCAAGGAACCTTCTCAACGTGAAACCGCGAAGAAGGCTGTAAAAAAAGCATTACAAGAAAGACATAAAACTGGGAAAAACAGATGGTTCTTTACTAAACTCAGATTTTAATTTTGGTGGAGAAAGGGGAGAGAGAGATCGAGTGTCTTGCGGGGATTAGTAAAAAAGATTGAGATATGTAAAAGAACATCATGTATTTGTTATTTTCTTAGGAAAAATTTTTTTTTTATAATAATAATTCCAAAAAGTCGAAAGATAATTTCTTTATATTTGATCATAAATCAATCATTCCTCTTTATTCTTTTTTTTTATGATATATATAAATGGTAAAAACAGTGAATTTTCTTATGGTTTTTTTTTTTATTTCTAAATTTATCTATCAAAGTGCAATTGGATGTTGTGAAGTAAGAAAAATGTATTATTTTATGCTTATAATGTCTTTTTGAGTTTCATCAGTATTAAAATTTTTAATTTATTTATGAATGACATGCGGATTTCTCTTGAGTTTTAATAGTTATGAGCAAGAAAAAATGTGTCATGTCACGTGACTTGATTCGAACAAAATACTTTACCTTTATTTTTGTACTATATTAATCACCCCAAACCGAATTAAATTCACTAACATCCTTCCACGGTTCAAAACTTTGCTTATTTTGATATGGACTTGCCGAAGCATTACCTTCTGGTTCGGAATTTTTGACCGTTGAGGCATTTCCTTCTGGACTTTTATCATTTAAGTCATCTTCCTTCAAAGGTTTATCTTCAACATATGTTAACTTAAATTCCTCATAACCATCTTCTAATTCCTTTAACCAATCAGGATGCAATAAAAGTGTATTCCACTTTTCGCCCGACATCAATGCTCCTTTGCGATTTAATTCATTTAGTTTATTCATGACAACTTCGCGATTTTTCCGACTCAAAGAAGTGATTTTGCCATTATTAACAATAATTTTTGCCAAAGAATCTTTCCTGATGGCCTTCCAACAATATGATGATATTTCCACCATAAATTCACTATCCTGTAATGAAAGACCTTTCAACTCAAAAAATTTCTTGCCATATACTTTAAGCATTGTGTCAATTGAAACCCCAGGAAGACGAATCTTGAAATCATAATCCGTTGGGAAATTTCCTTTTTCAGTTTGTTCATCTGAATTTGAATCAGAACTGTCATTTATCACTTTAATCAATCGTCCATCTTCAAATAGTCGATCGATAACACCAAGTACCGCTTTACGACGAACATCTGTTTTCGGTTTTGTTGTAGTCCAACGCTGATACCTATTTTCAATATAGTTTATAATCGTTTTTGTTCCTAGATCCTTATTTTTTTTTTAAAAAAAAAAATTAAAATAATCGATTCATGAGTATATATGTTTTAAATAATAAAGATACAACTTGGCAAACCTTTTATAATACAATTCTTACTTTGCCTTTCTGATGTCCTTCTATCAATAGCAGATAAATCTCATCGTCCTCTTCTTTTACACTTAATGGATGAAGTTTCTCATAATTAAGATAAACATCGTTCATCCTATCTATTAAAAGGTTCTCATACACTTGAATTCCAGCAAAAGCATCAGATGATGTATAGCGTATTATTTCCGAATCCAACTTAGCTGCATCAAAATTCCACTTCAATATCTTTTTGGTTTTCTCCAATACTAATCCGGCATCACCAAACATTCTAGTTAATTCCGCTAATGATCTCGCTGCATATCCCTTTTCTTGAGCGATTTTCTCAAGATCAATTACCCCCTGCATTTCAAAGTCGTAGGATTTTTTTATCCAACCCGCATCACCTGACGCATTTACTCCAACTTTTTTAATATCTTGATTTGTTAAAATTCGTTTAAGTAAAGGCGGGAACTTGTCTGCGCTTCCATTAGTAATTTTATATACTTGAAATAGAAAACATAATTCTCTCGTGGCTATCTGAATCATTGAAACAACTTGGGGATTATGCCTCCTATAAACTGTAGTTTCCGTATCAAAACCAACATGTCCCGTATGCCAATTAGGGTACCTTTCGAGAATGCTAAGACAACGATTAGCTAATATATTAGCCGAAAAGTCGTTAATATTTATAGCAAATGCACGAGTAAAGTATTAACGATTTGGAAAATATCACGAACCTGTAAAAGCATTTGCAATTTGATACACAGGTGGGTTGACTTGAACTTTTGGGATTTCGTTTTCGTCTAAACAGACAATTAACGAATGTGGTTTTGGTTGTTTTGGCGAATTTTGACGTGATGTGGAAACAGCTGCTGAATGTGATTGTATGTGGCCATACATTTTCGCTATGTTTGAAGGATCGGAATTATTAAAAAAATTGTAAAGCAAGCGCACTCTATGATAGTACATTATTCAATTTAGGCTTTTTATAATTGTCTAACGGTTTTAGCTTTTTGATGCTTGTTTTATCCAGCTGTTATACAATAGTTACATCGTACAAACAGTGTCGATTTTTTTTTTCTCCGCAGAAGACTGAAATATTTTCTTTTGGATAGTT